GTTAGTTAAATATTTCCTTTTTTGTAAATATTAAATTTAAATTAAAAATTAGAATGAGATTGGTGTAATTTGTAGAGTACCAATAATTTTGAGTAGTTAAAAATGTGGGTAGTATGGTTTAAAAATAACTAGCATTGCACAGAAAACGCCTATAGAGTTTTTTGTAAAAAGGAACCTTAAAGAAAAAAAAGAAAAAAATCTAGGAGAGTTTGGGAGGTTTTTCAAGTGTATTTTCGTCAGTTTCAGGTCTACAAGCTTGAAATTTAGCTTGTTATGATGGGAATGATGAGCTCTTTAAGTTTTTCTAAGTTTGGAGAGTGTGTTTAGATAGCTGTTTTAGAGTTATTAAGAGAAGTGTAAGAAAAAGGGCCAGATGGCCGTTTCTCGATAGTTTTAAAAGTTTTTAATTTAATATTTAAATATTATATGTATTTTTTGGTTAAGAATAAGTTTATTTAGTAGCAAAACTAAGGTTAACTTGAGGGTGAAAAATATATTTATCATAGGATTATTATATTATTAAAATATTTGTATTTTTTTATTTTATTCTGTTATTATTACTATTATTAGATTAATAACAGATTATTTTATACATAAAATTATATTGTATCTATACAACAAATATATTATTAAAGAAGTTACAAGAGAGTTAACAGAAAGAACAAAAATATAATTATTATATGATTAATATATATTCAAAGTATATTTATTATATACTATTTTAGATCATATAATAATAATATTGCTGATATATAATAAATATATTGTAAACATATTTAGCAAAAAACATAGGTTTCTGTAAAGGAATGGAGAATAACCATTAGAGAATAATTTCTGAATGGAAACCAACCAACTCCATTAATATTGATCCGTTTAACCTGTTTCAACAGGTTGAACTATCAGTTTAGAACCCTATTCTTCATTGGCTTCGTTGGATTTTTCCATTGAAACTATTGGCACCATTCGCTCTATTGGTAATTTTCTCAATTTTGCCCTTACCCTAACATTAAACTAGCCCTCTAACTTTAATTTCAAAAATCACAATTACAGTAATTTACGTTGTTTTGATTTTCATATCTGACCAATAGAAAAATTTATAATTTATTTAACCAATATCAATGCAGCAATATGGTAATTTTACATTGTATAATTTATTTGGAATACGGATTGACATTTTTAAAAATTTAATATCTCAGCTTATACATATCTCGGTGAACTTTGAAGCTATTTATTGATTTAATAGTCAAGAAAGCTTACGAAATAAGCCTTTTCTGAATATTAAGTCATCAAGATGCTTCAAATTTCATCGAGATATGAGCTGTGAAAATTAAGATATCAATCTTTTTTAAAAAGTCAATTTTATTACTATTGACGGCTGCTCATTTGATCTAATTACAAAAACAGCAGAATTTTTCTTAAAAACAGCTAGCCACAGAAATTGATTGACCTTAATCACCACAGGCCAGTGATAGTAAATAACCTGGTCATTTGCAAATTTTTCAAATGATCTCAAATGACCCCGAAATGACCGGTTATTATCGGTCATTTCAATTTTGGATCACTTGGAAATGACTCATGACCAAGTGACCACAGTCATTTAGAAATGACCGGTGTCATTTGAGGGTCATTTAGTTTATAGATTTTGAAATAGGCTGGGTTAGGCTAGATATTTGTATACTCGGGCCCAAGCTCAATAAAAATTTATATGCCCGACCCAACCCAGGAATGGTAAATGATACGGTTGTTTGATCAAAATTTAAATGACCCCAAATCATCAAATCGTGACAAGATCATTTGGATTATTAAGTTCATTTAGATCATTTGTTTATAAAATAATTTTATTGTTCGAATTGCTCATATAAAAAGTTATCAAACTTTATTACATTCTTAATCGATAATTGTAGCTATACACGTATTAAAGTCAAAATCTTAGTCAATTATTATTTATAAATTAAAAACTTTAACTTTACATAAATGTAAAGTGCGGAAGTGAATTAATAAAAGTTCTTCAGTTTACATGAAAATTCCAGAATATATGCAATTTATTATTTCGGATAACTTTTTACTTGAGAGTAAAATTTTTGACTTTAATGCTACGATTATCGATTATATTTTAATTTTGTTTGGTGACAAATTCTGATTAGCTAAAGGGCAATGGAATATCAATTAACTTATGTTAAATGACCTTTTAAGTCATTTGGGTCTCGAAATGACCAATGACTAGTCATTTGTCATTTGGGTCATTTGGGTCATTTGGGTCATTTCGGGTCATTTACCATCACTGCCACAGGCTACCACAAAATACTACAAAATTCTAAAGAAATCACAAATAATCATCATAAAATATCAGCAAATTTCGGAAGATGGGATAATTAGATACCGGTAGCTAATTAAATAAACACATTAATATAAATCACAGAATTTCTATCTGTAGTGTAGAACATACGACGCCAAAATCTTTCGTTTAATTCTTTAAAGCAGTTAAGTATATTATATTTAAAAATGATGTGTAAAAAGTTTTGCTTAGCTTCATATAAAAATTAACCATTCGGTATATTTGTTATAAATTTTATTAATGACGCGTAATGAAATCCAAATTGGAATTCTACAAAGTTTTCTAAGATTATCGAAATAACATTATTTGCAAAGTATTATTAGTATTAATCTTAGAAAAAATTCCAATTCAATTTTGCGTCATTTTGTAATTATTGTATGAAGCAAAAAAGGACTTTAAAATAACCATCCGGACCAAGATATGTTATACAGAATTTTATAATGATGCGTAAAATCAAAAGATGGGTGGCTATAAAAAAGTCATCGACCAATGATTTTTCTGAATCTTGCTATTTAATCAAACATCAGTATAATTACAAACATATAGTAAAATTTTAATAATGAAGTGAATTAAATTATCTTTTTATTGTTTAAATTACCAAAATCATATTCTGAATTATTTTTTTAAAGTAAACATTGGATTAAATTTTCATTCAAAATTTAGGCGCCTATAAAAAAAAGCTGTGGCCAAATTTTTTTTTTAAGTTTAATGAATATTTTTAACAACCAGCTATTATTTTAATTCTGTAGCTCAGAATTAAAATAAAAATAAATTCATCAAATCCGGATATCTGTTTGTCGAGATATCTTCATTAAAGATTAAATAAAACTTTAAACGAAGATTTCTCAACAGCCAATATCAGAATTTGATGAATTTTTTTGAACCCACAGAATTAAAATAAAAAAATTCAATAAATTCGGACAGCTTGTTGTCTAGAAACCTAGTTTTTTTGATATTTTAAGTTTTTATCAAAAAAAAAAATTTAGTAATAATTTCTTGATGACACTAAACGAAATTTAGTGAACTCTCTTTGTTTTAATTCTACAAAATTTTTTCCGAATTTGATCAAGCAAGTATTGAGAAATATTCGCTATGTAAATGTTTTAAAAAAATATCCCAGGATTATCCGATGATCATCGATCATCAGGAAATTTCATAAGATACCAGCTTTAAACGACCCTATTTATCTGTTATCGTTGTAGATCTTCACTTACATAATGCTGTAATTAGCATCATGTCCAACAATTTAAATTTACAAACTATACCTAAGAATCTCTTGATCTTGCTCTTATTCTACACAGTAGAATTGAGTTGAAAACGTGGACTGGAGATGTAAAAGCCGAAATTAAAAGTTTTTATAACACAATTGAACATGCTTTACAAGATACTTCACTGGATATTCAAAAACAAGAAAAACTAGAACATTTAAAGGAAACGCCTGAAGATGCAGTAAATATTATTTTTAATCAGATTATACTATTATAGTATGATGGAGTTTATATTATTTATATAGCAAGCACAGCTTAGTAAGAATTCTATTATGAATTTTTGCAACGAGCACGACTCAGTAGAGATGTTTTTAAACTGGTTTAAAATATTATCAAAGTAGGGTCGACCTTGTTGTATTAATCATTCTTTGAGATTCTGAATTGGGGCTGGCCTTGTTATCTAATAAGTTAAAAGGCATGCCGATATTTCTGACTTAACTTTATCATTAATTAGATTTATTTTATATAAATTTTATCTAATATTTTAATTTATAATTTAGGTAAAAGCTACTGTATTAGCAATAAGCTCCTTACATGAAAATAATAAACTTGCTATTTCGTCTCCTTCATGTAAAAAAGAGGACAATCAAAATGATATTTGTACACATATCTCAAATTTAAAGAGTATATTGGAAAGTACTATCAGCTATTATATTTACTATTGCTTTTCTGTTTATTTTAATGCAGCATCTAATATTGTGTTTTATCTATTAAATTAGGCTCGAAACAAGTTAGATCTAAAATATTCAGATGAAGCACACAATGCTTATGATGATATTTATAATGTATTGGAGACTTTAAATAAGACAGATTTAACAAAATTTGATAACAACGATCTATTAACAATAGAAGTTATTGACATCTCTTCTGAGTGGGCTTGTTCTTATCTTAAAAATAATACAATTGATTTTCTTAAGGTATTGTAGATAATTTTAACCATTAAGTAGTATTACGATAATCAAATTTATTTGTCTAAATTGTTATATTTAAATTATTATAGGGAGATTTATCAAAAAGGTTAATCTTAGATAAAAGTATAAGGAAGAATGTAAAGGAACAATCCAAAAACATTATATGAATAAAGATTTAAAGTGGGTTATTTCTGAGAACTCCGTTCCTTCTTTAAACAAATGGGTAAAAAGTGTGGAATCACAAAAGCATTGTGCTCAAAAAATTCTTAAATGTTTGTACATAAATTGTTAAGGATTTATTTTGCTATTAATTGTCTATTCTAAAATTCTTAATGTAATTTTTTAGGACTAGCATTTGGAATTTAAATACTATTTGGTCCAAAAATCAATCCGAGAGGATTTACATAGCACAAATTGTTGAACCACTAATTTCTGTTGCACTTGAAAATCTACCAGTAGTAAGATTGTGTTGATTTTCAAATTGGGTATTTTATGTTTTGAAATACTGTAAGTCAATTATTTCTTTTATATATTTTTAGAGAAGAGAAGCAAAGTCTTGCTAGTAAAAATTATAAGTCGACAAATTCTTCAAACTCTGCAGTTGGTGATCGTCTGGATATAATGTTCACTATAAAAATTGGCAAGAATCATCTTGAGTTGCTTTATGTTGAAAGTGGTCGATGTCTAACTACTGATCAAAAGGTTTTTTCTAATCATAACAAGTTAACTTGCTTATGCAAGGGAGGATATAATTACATAACCACTCGGAAAAGATTAGACAATAAAAATATTCATTCTTTCCTCACAATTTTAGGCATAAATATAGCTGGTAAGTTGAATTTTACGATATTTAACTTTGTATGCAAAAACTAATGTTAACTTTTATAGGTGATCATATGAAGATATATGGACTTCAACGGAAAGATAATCTTTACTTTTATTTTCCACTTACCGAAGCCTGCATACCTTTAGAAAATACTTCATGGGAAAATGTTCAAGACTTAATTTACACACTATTATTAGTACGAGTATGTTTAAAAAGCTTTTTTAGTTTGTTAATATAATATCCGTTTTAGCAATAACTGTTTAACATAAATATTATTTATAGAATATTATTATAGTTGTAGCTCATAACTTGAAAATTGCTAAAAAATCTAACAATCCGAGAAAAGGCAAAAAAAAGTCAACGCATAAGCTTGATATATTTTAATTTTTACAAGTCAGATGTATGTAACGATAAATTGCTTTGCATATTATGTAAATAGAAAAATTTTGAACACACTTGGCAAAAAACTTAAGAATTTGGTTAAATAAAAAAAAAAAAATATGTGTAAATTAGTTGGAATATAATATGTTTTTCATGATATGAATATTCAAATAATAACTTTACATGAGTTATAGACTAATATTAAAAGGAATCAATAATTCTTATTCATTGGCATTTAATCCTAAAACACGCAGTTATGTTGTACATAAAATTAGTCATTCAGACACTAACCCGCAAAGAATTTTGACGATAAAGACTCATTTTCTAAAAAAACAAGAACAAAAAAAATCAATCAATCGACTTCTAATTTTTTTTTTTTTTATTAGAATTTTGAATTTGAATTCAATAAATTTACTTATTGTAATTTTGACTAGTAATATACTAATTATAAGATCAGTGAAAAATTAGTTACCCAAAAATTTCATAGTAAAAAAACGTATTGAAAATTTGATAGTAGAAAAAATTTTACGCTTACCTTTCCGAGTGTTCATTAGTTGATATGCTAACAGAGCTTAGGATATGGTGGTGGTGGTTGTGTCGGATTTGACATTACGTTCAATAACATACTCAACATCATAGATGAACCGGGTCCTTCTAGTATTAGCGTAGTGTCCTGAGTACCTTGAATAACAGAAGTAACTAGTGTAATTAAATGATTGCTATCAGGTCAGTGACAGATATTACATATAAAATTTATTCTCCAGGTAGAGTAGGTTTGCAATTTTTGAAATAATAAATTATTGTAATGTTTTTAAGCTTACAAAAATTATTAAGTGGTAGAATTGCATGTAAAATTAAAGTTAAGAAAACCACGTTATAATAAGGGTTGGGATTTGAAGAAAATCTTACAGCTCGATCACTGCATTATTAAAAAATTCTGTAGTTATAAGAAAGAAAAGCTAGCAGAATAAACATCGATGCGGAACAAGGAAATGATATAAGAGAAAGATTTAAATAAATCAAAAATTTTATTCAACCATCTACATCAATTTTGAATAAATTATTTTAATTAATAATTTAATAAAACAATTCAAATGTTAAGCTTTCTTTTGACCATTAACTAATTGTTTCTTGCTAGATAGAACTGATGGCAGTTTCTTGCTAGGTGAAACTGATAGCAAATCAAGTGGATTATAATTAAAAAAACCATCTTTAATTCTTTCAATATCAAGGCTATTTTTTTCTGCGATAGTCATGTTACTAGATGAGATCACGGTAATATTTTTGAGATGAAAATGAGGGATAACTTCAGATCTATTTTCTAGCGATAGGTCCAAACCATTTATTTGATGTTTTTTGAAGTTTACATAGATTTGAACACCCTAATTATAAATAAATAAACAATAAACGAGTGATTGATAGAATTATATGAATATCAACAGATTTAAGATACCCAAGTACTTATACTGTTTATTGATTTTTTGGCTTTATGAGCAACGCTAGTTAACTAAAACTTTTTTTTATAAATTCTGACTAGTTATAGTATGGATCACATCTTTAGGTATAAGAAAAGTCATGTTTATTTTTTTTATTTTTAATGTAAAGGCGAAGCCTATCCTCTGATTCATATTTCATTAAATTGCATTTTAATTTGAAATATATTTAAGAATTTATTGAATAAAGAAAGCAAAACAAGCAGTACATATGAATTTTATTGACAATCTAACTAGGAGAGAACTAATAATTTGCATGAATAGAAAACAAATTTAATAAAAATTTTGAACTTCAAACTTTTAAAAGCTATATTCTAGTTCCTTTAAGTTTTCATTAGATAACTTATAATAATCATTATTATCTGCTGGTTTCTGCTCTTCAATTTTTTTAATAAGCTTAGCAAATTCATCCTTTGTCATAACTCTTAGCCTTGGTGGGTCAATCGTTTTGCTATCATAAATTACTTGCCAACCCAATCTTTGAACAAGTATCAATGAACGCCTGGCTGCAACCATTACATTTTTAATTATTGCTGGTTTACCTTTATAGTAAATTGTGGATGATTCTACTAATATTTTATATACACGACTTGCAATCCTTTCACCTTTGGAAAATTCACAATTCCAGTTATTTGCTTCTGGGTTTATTTCTTGACTTTTTTCGCCAGATTCATAATCAACTACAGTGATAAATCCGGAAATAAAAAATTGACCAGAGTTCTTTATTTCTTTATTCTTTTCATTAGATTAAAGAAGATATGCACTAATTCGCAAAGCATATAGATGTATAAGACTCTTGAATGTTGATAATTATTTTCGTTATTTGAGATTTTTTTCTAAATATTTTTGATTTGACTTTTGATATTGTCCTCATCCCCAATCTCCATAAGAACTGGTAAAGAATGTGAAAAATCAATACACTTATCAAATAATTCTCTAAAAATTTCAAATTTTGGTATATCATTATGAATAATTATTGGTTCTAGATCTCCGTTAATTTGAACATCGGTGCAAGTGCAATTTTTTATTTTATTCTGCTAGATTTTTGAATTCTATTAATATTAGATATAGATCAAGAAATATTCACATCATAGATTCTTACCTTATTAAGCTTTTATAAGTAATTATATATATTTTAGCTGTTGATGATGAATTATGTTTGTATTATATTCTAATTATAGTAAAATGTATTTATATTTAATTTTAGTAACATATTTTTACTATAAGTAGGATATAATATATATAGAATTAAATAGAACACTTATTAAAGCTTTTCATACTTGTAAAGACTGATTATCTTCATTTGAAGTATTATCTTCATTGATTGAACTTTCAACTTGATTTACTAAGTAAAGAGAAGTTGAACTTCAAGAACTATCAAGCTGTTTGAATGATTCCTTTGTAATTTGGTACAACCTTGAAGTTTAAATCTGTCAAATTTGATTATAAATACTTACTTGATTATTCGTATCCGATTGGGTTACTGGCACATTCTCTGTTTCATCTATCTTCTTTTAAAAATATAACAAAATGAATGATGACGTAGACTAGTAAGGTTTGCTATATTACTAGAGTTTACCTGTCTATTGCTAAAGCACTCATTCTTTTCTATAACAACAACCAGTTTCATTCTATTTTTAATTGAGGCATTAGTAGTGCTATTACATAGAGTTGATTTTTCTATAATTTTTACATATTTTTTTTATAAGTAAAATATTTTTATATAATATATAATATGCAAAAATTATAGCCAAAGCTTGAAA